AAAAAAAAACCTTAGGTTTTGTCTCCTCAATTCATGGCAGTTATATACATATGTTCTCTAGGAATCAAATAAATAACAATGTATAGGGAGAATTTATTAAACTAGTAAGCACAGTAACTAAGCAAGTTTTCCAAGTTATTTTGTATACCTCACATATGATCGGAGACAACAATCTTCAGAGATAGTAGAGCATCTAAAGAGTAAACTGAAGGAGGAGGAAAGGAAATAGAGAAAGCAATTAGATGGAGAGAAATTTCTAAATCAAGCTTGAGAGCATGAGGTTATTTCTTATGTGAAATTGAGTGTATTTATTGAAAAATGGACTTACACCTGGAATTAGGAATTAAAAATGCAATGCTTTTTTCCCCTTTGTATATTTTTCCCCCAGAGAGTTCTAAAAGTGTGTTATTAAGACATGTATCAAAAAAGCACATTAAGCCACAAAACCTTAAGAGGGAGTATTTTACAAGTGAAGGATAGTATAAGCTAATAATATTAAAAATATCTTAGCAAAGCCAGTCAGAATAAATAATCAGAGGAAATGCTATGCCAAACACAAATAATTTGGCATTGTTTCAGGGGGAAAATAGTGCCGGGTCCAGGACTGTTTCTATTCCTTGGTCTCTAGCTTCTCCCCTAATCTCTGCCCTATGTCTTCACAAACTGGCCTTTATTAAAACTTAACTAAAACTAGTGTCCTTTAAGTTACTTAATTAAGCTTACTTACTAAATTCTTATTGAAATATTAATGAGTGGCTCTGGCATCCTAGTGGGTAATGGGTTGTGCTGTTAACCCAAAGGCATGCAGTTCAAATCCATCAGCTTCTCTGTGGAAGAATGGCAATCACCTCTTGTGGGATTTACCGCTGTTGAAACCCACTGAAGGGTCAACTATGAATCAGTTCCAACTCGACAGTAATGAGGTTCTTTAATTTATTGTACGAGCAGCTTTTGTAAGTTTAAGTCAAGGCATGATTAGTCGGTAAAGGTGGTTGTTCTGTTGTTATCATTATGTGCCATCAAGTTACTATGACTCATAGACAGCCTATAAACAATGGCTCTGAACATTGTCATCTAAACCAACCTCTCTGTCTCTGCCAAAACAAAGGTATGCGATTCTAATCCACCAGTCGCTCCACAGGAGAAAGATGGGCAATCTCCTCCCATGTGATTTACTGCCTCTGAAAAGCTGCTGGAGGGTCTGCTGTGTGTTTGTTCTGACTCGACTGTATACAACACTAACAACAAGAGGAACAACATGGGACCAAATGGAACTGTCCGTAAGGTTTCAAGGCTGTAAATCTTATGGCCGACAGCCATCACTTTCTCCCAGGGAGCAGCTTTTGAGTTCCAGCCACTCAATTTTCAATTAGCAGTTGAGTGTTTAGCATTGTGCCACCAATTCGCCTGCCTAATGGAGCCTCAGAAAAGTTTCATTTGTCTCAATTACTAAAGGTTAAAAAATGACTTTTTATCACACTCTTCTAGCTTCTTTAATCTTGTGTAGCTTTCTCTGCTTAGGAAGACATGGTGAGTTGGGCTACATAGACTATCAGGACAAGAACTTAAAGACAGGGAGCCTGAAAGCTGGACCCGGCTGTGGATTGTCCTCCTAAAACCTGAACATCTGCATTTCCTAAGGAGAAAAGAAGCAGAACTGACAGCAACTGCAAATTCCTATGCTGTAAATCCCACATTGTGACCAATTTTTAGAAAATTTTAAATTTAAAGGTGACACCTTTAAATAAGATTTTGGAAGAGATACAGTTACATGTCATATCTTTAACATTATAATGCAATAATATCATAATGACTACCATTAGGATATAATAAACATAAATAATCTCATTTGAGATTATTATGATAGATTATGTAACAATGTACTAAGGAGCCCTAACAGCTCACTGGTCAATGTACTCTGTACTGCAGGAGATGATTACTAAGAGGTTCTTGTTGTTATGTGCCGGCAAGTGGGAACCAACTCACAGCTGACTCTCCAGCAAGTTTTCAAGTCAGTAAATTGCACAGGAGGAGATTGTCCATCCTTCTCCCACAGAACAGCTAGTGGATTCCAACTGTATACCTTTGGGTTGGCAGCACAGCTCCTTATCACTAGACCATCAGAGATGCCCTATTACTAAGAGAGTAAAGTAAAATGGAAAATAATTAGAAAGTGGTGAATTTTGAGTTTGTGATTACTTTTGTTTCAATATTCTCTGCTTAATTGTAAATTGGGGTGTATTTGTTCTGTTTTGTTTCCTTAAATAACAGGTTTTTAGCAACTGGCTCAAAGATTTCTTCAAACCTTAATTAACTGACTCATTCCTATACAAGCTCTAGTGGCTCAGTCTGTACGGTATTGCTGTGGTAGCTGCAGTTCAAACCTACCAGGGGCTCCATAGCAGAAAGATAGGCAGTCTCTGTCTGTGAGGCCCACAGCCTCAGAAACCCATGGGAGAGTGGCTAGGAGTC